GTTGTATTTTTATCCCTCTTGCTGAATCTGCTACAATAATCTGCTAAAGTTCTCCTTAAGCACTTCTGCTTAGTGCTGATAATCCAGGCTTGGATTTTTTGCATGAGTTTCTGTGGTGTTATTCTCAGTGCAGATCTCTCTTAGAGTGCAGTAGGTTTGGGTTAGGTTTTTTTCCCCTTCTATGAGCATTTCCCTTGGCATAAAGAAACTACAGGAGCACTAAATTTTCGAAAGCTGTCATCTATCAGAAGTAAAATGGCAGACAGAAGCACAGGGGGAGGGGAAACACCTTTGTTCTTTCCTTGATCTTTTTCTTCTGAGAATTATTTTAGTCATCCAGAAGAAAAATAGAGTAACCAAGAGGTTACTCTCAGGGCAACTCTTGGAGATGAAACCAAGGTTTCATCCTTATATTGCAAATTAAGAGCTGGAGCTTCCTAACCAAATCTGAAGTCTTTGCTAGGTGTTGTTTCATGGCTAGGACTCAAGAGAGGGGTAAAAGTCCCATGTAGCTCAGATCACCCATTGCTACAGAAACAAACCAGTTCACAGGAAGGAATTTAATACTTTCCATAAAATGTGCTGGAATATCTCACTTTTTACCATGCAGAAACCAAATTCCTTTAGCCTTTTATCAGTTTTAACTTTAACATGTGTCTAATAAATTGTAGAATTAAAAACTTTCTAATGCTCCCTCAGGGAATGTGCCGTGCTTTTCCTTTCCTTGACCCTTCTAGGTTTTTGTCATTATTTATAGATTACTGCAATGGAATAAAATAATTTTTTGAACAAAAAAAAATTGGAAAAAATCTCTCATTGGGAATAAAACCAGCTAGGTCATTATGAGGAGAGGCTGAGGGAGTTTGGATTGTTTAGCCTGGAGAAGAGGAGGCTCAGGGGAGACCTTAGCACCCTCTACAACTCCCTGAAAGGAGGTTGGAGTCAGGTGGGGGTTGGTCTCTTCTCCCAGGCAACCAGCAGGAGGACAAGAGGGCACAGACTCAAGCACTGCCAGGGGAGGTTTAGATTGGATATTAGGAAGAGATTTTTTTATGGAGAGAGTGATCAGGCACTGGAATGTGCTGCCCAGGGAGGTGGTGGATTCACCATCCCTGGAGGTTTTCAAGATGAGACTGGATGTGGCACTTAGTGCCATGGGCTAGTAACCATGGTAGGATTGGACTCGATGATCTTTGAGGTCTTTTCCAACCTGGTTGATTCTATGATTCTATGACTCTGTGAGTGTAATTTCTGTCAGCAGATGTGCTTAATTGTTCAAAATAACTGCAGAATGCTGTTTGGGTATATTTGAAATAAAATTACTGACCAATGCAAGTTTAAAATATTCTTCTATAATTAATACATGGGATATGCTGTTGATTTAGTGAAGTCTTTTGCAATTTGCTCCTGAAATAATGTATTTTTACCTACAATGAATTTATGTAACTTAAGTAATAAACCTGATGACTATATTATGAATATTAAAAACTTCAGATTGCCAAAGACAGGTGGAAAGCAAATTTCAGGAGGTCTAACAGCGAGTTGAAATAATAAAATACTGAACCTATGAAACTAAAGGGAGTTCATTATTGAAATAATAATATATCCATCTTATGTAATGCTTCTCTGTCAGAGGAACTGATGAAAGTTAGAGAGGAGAAACAGCTGGAGAATAGCCAGGAGGTACCAGGGCTGCAGTGGAGAACCTGAAACAATCTGCAGAACCCCTGAGGAACTGAGAGCTAGGTCAGAGCAAAGGTCTTAACCCCTCAGTGCAATTTCAACATCAGAGAAAATCTGCATTTAGCCTGTGAGCAAACCCCATTTATTGTGTTTTGGTTCCACATCAGAGCAGTATTTGGAAGGGTCCCATACTGTGATTTCTCTGTTTGGTGTCCTTAGCTGGTTTGCAGAGCAGGATATCTATCAGGTATATCTATCTACCTGATACCTAGATATCTAGCAGGGTATCTCCCATGGAAGGGAATTTTGCAGGTCCCTACAAGAATAGGAGTTGTTGCTATGTCAGAGTAGCAATTAGGAGCTTAAAAAGAGATGTAATACATTGCTGAGGGTTGAACATCGTGGTTTCCCTGGGGTGATGGATGCTGTTCCTCCGCTGTTTTGAGGATTTAGATCCAGGGAAAAGACTTTGAACTAAGAGTAGCTGGATGCCAGACATCTAAACTGCTCTTTTAATTAAGTCTGGTTATGAAATGATATGATCTTGGCAACAACAATATCTGCTAATTGTAACTGCTTGTTCTGAATTTGTTACTCAGTTGAGTTACACAGGCACTAAATGTTCCTCTCAACATATTTTCCCCTCCCTAGTAGCACCATGAATCATGCAGGACTTTTTCTGAGAAAGCTGCTGCAGCCCAGACCAGCTAGAGGAGGAGGCCAAGTTAAGAGTCAGGAATATGTGTGATGGTCCTGCCTCTGCTGAAAGTACAAGCACTCACTTCCCTGTCAAGCATTGATCTGTTTGTTTTACCTCCCTGTTTCAGCACATTCTTGCCTTGTGCTTTGGAGGAATTTACACAAACTTAAAGAATTGACTGAGTCAGGGTTTGGATTGCTGCGAATTTAGATGCATGTGATGTCCACAGTCCCACCTACATTGCAGAACCTGCTGGGCATTAAGCTGTTACAAGTACTTGAGCAGCAAAACCCCCAGTGTTTTTCCAGCTATCTACATCTTTAGAACCATGTGGCAGGGATAATTTTCTGTGGGACTATGTTCAACTAATTCCTGAACTAACAAGGAAATTGTTGATTGGAAAAAGCAAACCAGTTGCTTTACCTGATTGTATTTCCAAAGTTTGTCAGTGGGGAGAAATGTCTTTGAAAAGATGCAGCTCTTCTGCATCAAGATATATGTCCCAGCAGTCCACAGGAGCAAGCACTGTCTCTGGCACTGCCAGGCAAAGGGGCTGTGCTGGGTATTGTGGCAGTGTGAAATTGCTTTTCCTAAGAAACTGGAATAACTGTAAAGAAATGCAGAATCTCCTAGATAAATGCAAATGACATCACCATGCATAGGACCCCAGAGAGGTCTGGTTCATAATCCACATCAGGGTTGGACTTTATCTGGTTTGCCATCTTGGTAGTGCTACTGTAGAGAATTACTGGCAAAAAAAAAAAGTGCTAGTTGTGAAAAATAAAACTAAAAAATCAGAGGTACCTATGCATAAACCAGCAGAAATTCCACCTTTTATGTGGTAAATATAAAGGTCTGTCATCTTATGTCAACTTGTTCTACTTGTGTTGGAGCATCCCATCTATAATCTGCTACAGTTTCTCTGGTTTAAATCATAAGGTCAATAGCAAGATAAACCCAAGAGATTAACTCTAGTCACGTCATCCCAATTGTGCCAACAACTGTGCTTTTCTGTTCTTCAGCTGTGCAGTGTGGTGAGGAGAGTATCTAAGCACTGAAACTCCCAAAGACCTGCATGAAGCTGCAGGACTCTGCAAGTGACTGTGTTTGCATGTCCAGGTGAGAGATGGGTCAATGCCTGCAAGTACCCCCAAGGCTCCAAACTGCACCATGATGGTTCCAGTGAATGGTCACTTCACTGAGCTTCACTCCATCACAGTGTCATGGGGACATTGGTAAGGTATGAGAAATGGAATAATGAAAGCTGAAAATCTGACTGAAAACTAATTTAGGCCTTGATTCATCTCAGTACTTAAATACATGCCCAAAATTCAGTGTGTCAAAGTGCTGTGGGTATAAAGAGGACTGATAATATACTGTGAGCTGACATGGACCTTAACACACAGGTGTCTGCACATATCTGGCCTTGTTTCTTGGTGTTGATTTTCACTAACCACATTCACAGCATCTAAAAGGTCTAATTGTACAAAATCATCCAGACTATCCCACGAAGCAATTGTTAACTTCTGTGTACTCAATCCTGTAGCTTCCTTCTGGCTGTGCTTGGATATCCTAAAAGGGACATCTTCCATTAGCATTAGGAAATCACTCCCACTGCCTCTCTGGAAATCATTCACCTCATTCTCTACTGTTTATACCTTTGGATATTTCTGAGCTATCAGTTCATTTTCAATAAGTCCATTTTAATCTTTCTTCCAGAGAAGGCATCACCATTCAGTGAAAAAGAGAACACCAACACTTTTTAACATGGTCAGTAAGCTTGGGCTTGTTTTATTCCTCATTATTATTTTAATTAAGTATATGAAAAAGAAGTTTGAAGACTTTTGCTGTCTAGTATGACATGTTTACAGTCTGCAGACTGCGACTGCTTTTCAAGCAAATGCTCTTGCAAACACTATGTGTTTTATACAATAGCAGTGCAATTAGTTAGTTATAGATTGATCATCTGGCTACAGGCAAACTTTGAAAGCTTTCACATACAGTGGTTTTATTTTAAGCTTATTAGTGGCTTTTGATATAGAATTCAGATTTTTATCTCTGTGCCTGGTGGGTGAGCTTTGTACAACCACACCGGTGCATAGCCCTGAAAGAATGCATTCTAATGCTTGGGTCAAGGTATTCATTGCAAGAACATGGGAAACTCCAAGGCAAATAAAACAACAAGTGTGTTTGTGCCAACAGAAGCTGATTTGTTTGTTACTCATTCAGTGGTAGGTATTCAGCAAGATACATGAGTGGCAGAGGCAAAGTTTGTTCTCATTAGTCATAGAGAAGAATGAGTTTTTATTATTGAATAAACTCTGACTTTTGACATTCTCCCAACCTCCAGCTCCATAGGGATGTGTTGGAGCTGGCTATGTTGGCCTGACTGCTGCTTGTACCTACATCAGAAGAAATAATAGTGCTGTAACCTATGTTGCTGCTTTGCTTTGTGTATTTTGTTGATATACATATCTGTTTTTCTATTCCTGTTTTTGGGAATGCTTTCCAACCAGGCTCAGTTCCCTTTGTAAATGTATTTGATGGGTGATGCCTGATCCTCCAGGATCAAGCTGTCTGTCTCATTGAAGGTGTCGCTTTCAGCAGAGCGATTGGCATTTTTCATTCTGTTCAACCGAGACTGCAACCGTTCCTGTTCCTTTCTCAGCTCCGAGTAGGAATGGGAGAACGTGTGGAATATTGACGTTGCAGGAAAAGACATGATGAGAATCCCACTGAGGATGCTGCTGAGAGCCACCATTTGGCCTGGGACGCTCCGTGGGACCATGTCTCCGTACCCCACGGTGGTCATGGAGATGATAGCCAATGCTGGTGAACTCAAGGACCCTCCCAGATTCGTTCTCAGCAAGGTAGACCAAGGGAGAGAACAGAGTGACAGCCACACAGAGGAAGAGTAAAAGCAGTCCAAACTCCCGCGTGCACTTCCGAACTGTGAGGCCCAAAGTCTGCAAGCCCAAGGAGTGTCGGGCAAGGCGCATTACATACAAGATCCTCAAGGCACGTAAAACCCGTAGCACCAAACCAACCTTCTCCAGGTACGTGTTGCTGCTTGGCCTGTCGTCCTCCTCGTTTGAGTCGTCCTCTGAGAAGATGAGGGAGACGTAATAGGGTGAAATAGCCAAGAAGTCAATGATATTTAGGGGTCCTTTGAAGAACTGACACTTGCTCCTTGCCTGAATGAATCGGAGGCAGAACTCCAGGGAAAACCAAGCCACGCAGATGGTCTCTATGACAAAGATGTAATAGCACTTCTGGGAACACTCACCCTGACACAAAACAAAGAGAGAATTAAAGAAAAGAACAGTCTGTGAACCAGCATTCAAAAACACTAAGGGAGAAGCAACGCTTGAGTCACTGGTATCAGAGATAAACAAATCTCAATTAGCAGGTAGTGGTGTGACAGCCACCTTCGAGTGGTGTGTGGAGAATAACAAGCACATGAAATAGCTGAATTAACAGCTCTATCTACCTGCTTATTTTTATTATGTTGCTTCTTCCAGTCTAAATGAATGAAACTTATCTCTATAAAGTCTTGACATGCAGCCTGTAAGTCCCACTTTCTGGTCTCAAACAGAAATTAATTTAAACTTCACTGATTTATAAGCCTGTGCAAAAATCAGTTTCTCTTCAAAAGAAAGATTCATGTTTGATTATCTCTGTAAACTTCTGGTGTTGTACAGTGCATGGTGCTTTCAGAAATGATGTGTACTCTGGTGTAATTAAAAGTGGTTCAGAGATATTCATTAGGTATTCTGGATTTTTGAGTTATGCCATATATAAATCTTGTTTCTTTCTGTATATGCAAATGTTTTCATCTAAAAGAAATAAATATCTACCCAGTAGGTGAAAGTTGCCTTGAAGAATCCACTTCAGTATATTGAGACCACATACTATAAGCATCATTTCCTTGGATTTCTTATCGAAGGAATTGCTTTAGTTGAACTACCTTGGATTTATACCTTTTATTTTGCTGAGCTCAGCTTAAGCAGTGAAACGTCTTTTGGCCTATTCCAGTGAAACAAAGAGGAAAATGTAAATTAACTTGTAATGTTTTGGGTAAGCAAGAGAAAGACTACACTGAGCTTTGTCCTGTGGTGCTGGGCAACCCCTAGGTTACATCCATCTGATAACAGCTGGACACATTGGTTGCTGGGCCTGAGGTGTACAACCTGCCTCCTCCACAGGCACAAGTCTCTGTTTACTGTGTTCCAACTGGCAGAAAACAAACCAGTTCCTGCCACCATTTTTTGCTTTATAGAATGTAGGACATAGCAATGAGAGCAGCATGTGCTGCCTTGCAGCTGTACACCTCCCCCTGAATGGAGTACATTGTTTGCAAATCCTGTGGCACTGCTTTCATGCTCATCCTGTCTGTCCAACTGATAAATACATTCCTGTCCTTGTACAGAGAATTAAGATGCTCTTAAGAACCCTGCTCTTGTGGCACTCAATGCTGGGGTTTTGATTTTAAGCATTGTGAATAAGGTCATTGAAAAATTCCACCTTACAGGTATTTTGTGATATTTTCACAGTTCTGTGCTGCTATTTACATTATGTTCTTGCATTGGTGCAAATATTTGGATTACAATTCTAAATTCAAACCCAGTTCAAGTGAACTGGAGTCTTTCATGGACTTTGGCTGACTTTGAAGCAGCCTTGTGTGCTTTTCTTTGCTGAGCACATTAGCAAGACACCAGCAAGTGAAGTGTACAGGGTCTGGATTTTTGGTGAAGATGAGAAATCTCAGCTAAAACTGAGAACCACAGAAAGGGATTGACCAGTATCACAACTCTTTGAAATTCCAGGATTCACCAGTATCACAAGTCCTCGAAATTCCAGGCTGGGCTCAGAATGTGTGTGGTCGCTGCGTGTTCCAGGAAGCTCAAAAGTAGGAGGTGGTAATTTCAGTTTACATTTTTACACTGCTTGAAAATTAATATTTAGCAAATAACTCTTTTCAGCTACAACTTCAGGACATGAAGACTTAACTAGGTTAAAGAGTCTTCTCCTTGTGTTCTTGCTGAACAGAAATTTGCATTTCTGAGGTGTTCACAACTGCAGAAGATCAAGCAGAACTGGGGATGATGAAGGACAATCTGTGCAGAGAAAGAACCTCTTTGGGACAGCAGAGTGTGATGTGTTTTTCAGGAATAGCTGAAAACCGTTTAGCTGTGAAAGGTTTGTTTTGTAACCTCTGTAGAAAGAAGTCAGGGCTGCTGTCTGCATCTTCCCTCAGAACCTGTCTCTGAAATGTAGCAATTTCCTGGAAGACTAAACTCATACAGCCTTAGGCATTCTCATCCAAATTTCATGAGCAATATTTATTTCAAACACCGCAGGAAACACAGACCCCTACTACTAATTGTACTTACTACCAATGTTGAGTTACTCTGTGCAGTGCAACGTGATGTTGGTTTTTTAGACTGTCCCTTGTGTCAGAGTTCCTGCTGTTCTTGGGACTATCAGGTTGTTTTGTTCAGGCAGTGGTTATGGCATTGGCCAGTTGAGGTTCCCCAGGTGAAGTGGTAGCACATCCCTTAGGGATGTTTGACCCTGTCTAACCCTCAGAACAATTTAGCTCTGTAGCACCAAGTGGGGATTTTTCCTTTCTGCACAGTAAACTGTCAAGATCATAATTTACCTCTAAAAGTAAACACCACAAAAGGTAATGAAGGCTTAGTCTTGCCAGAGCTCTGTGTGTAGGATCAGGTGAGAGCTCCATTTGCAGTCAGTGCCACAGCAGTGCCAGAGTGCACTGATGTTTGCAGAGCTGCTGACTGGGCTTGATGAGATTGCCTGCAATCAGCAGTTGTGTTATGCAGTGCTCACTTTTCTGAGCTCTAAATTATTTGTGCAGTGCAGCCTGGGCTCTGCACAGACCTGCCTGTGGTCACTCTAGTGATGTGCCCTCTGAATTATTCATTCTTCCCATCAAGATTTATTCTATTTTTTGTTAACTGGGCTGAATTTCCAGTACATCTGTTATTTTTTCACCTTATGCACTTACAGGTGACAGATCATCAAGTAGCTTTCACTATTCCTTCCTTGGAAAATACAAGGAAAGAGGTCTTGATGGTGTAAGTTTTAACCATTGGAACTCTATGGTGCCTTTTGTGTTGAGTGTGAAATTTCAAGGTGTAGCATTTTAAGGACAGGTTGGGAGAGTTTTTTCTTCTCACCATCCTCGATTGCCTCAGTATTTCCCATGGAAAGCTATATATGTTTAGAGAAAGCAATTTGTGTCCTCAGCTTCCTAAATGTGTATTTCATTTTCCAGACGAGCATCCTTCAAATCAAACTTTCCAGGAATGCTGCTGCACATTTTATTTTCCCTCTGAGCATAGTTATGGATGTGAAGGATGGTGAGTTCTCCCCTGTTACCACAATTTGTCTTTTTTATGTACATTGCAAAAGACATTTCAGAAATGTTTGCATATGATTCTGTGAAACCTCAGTCCCTTTTGCTACTGCCACAACCAAAAGAACAACAAAATCACAGTGTCTGACTATGGTGTTTAATGAGAAAATGCTCTTTGACCTCACATTGAGAGACAGATTTCATCCAATGAGTTTACATGTTAATGCTTTCTATATTAAGAACCTGTATGTATATTATGTAATATATTTGATATGATTTATATAGAATATCCCTCTCTAATATCAGTTTCTTTAAACATTCTTGATCCTTGTGAACATCCTGTTCTAAAAAAGCAAATACCAAAATAAGAGGACAAAAAGGAAATATTAAGTACCTCAGCAAATTTCTGTTTCTCCTAGTATTTCTGAGGATTTTTAGACCTCATTGTCTTATGTTCCACTTACAACTGCTGTCCAAAGAGCAGGCAGAATAACACACTGACTTCAAATCTCTGTTCTTACCAACTCTTTGTCAGTGGAGAGAGTTCAAATTTGCTGTTGTCACCACATTCCTCTTAGATGTTACTTACTTCCAGTGAACTGTGAAATTATGGCCAGATACTCTGATCCAGGAAAGGGTTTTTTGGCCTAAATGGTCAATAAAGAAATTTCTATGTCACAACAACTTCCATATGTTTCCTCTTTCTGAACAAAACAAACATATTTGGGAAATTCTAGCGTTCAGCACCTGCCAACACAAAACACAACAAACTCTCTCTCTTGACCTCACCATTAACTAAGCAGAATTCTGAGCTTTTATTTTGAGTCAAACTTGTCATTGGTTTCTTTCTCCTCCTGCCTGCAGTTTTGCACCTGAAGTATCAAGGTGTATTGGAACCTATAATAGCTCCAAACCAGTTGGTGCTCACTGTGAGCAAGAGGGGAAGATGAGGTTTTATTTATACTTGACCACAGCATGTTTTGGGTGGGCTTTTCCAGCAAAACCCTCTGACATGTTTTACACTATAGTAGCATCAATCAACACTGAAACTGTCATTGACTCTGATGGGAGAACAGTTACCACTGAGTCAGTGGTGAGTATCTAACTCTTTATACCTTATTCATCCTGCAGATTTACTTTTCAACAATGCAAGAATTTATCAGGATTTATGGAACTTGCCTCTAGCAGAATTTCTGCAATGTATGATATAAATGTAATAAAATGAGTGCCTGGTATTGATCTTGTGTATGAAATGAGCATTTGGCTCAGCAGTAAAGGAAACAATATTTCGTGTGTAAAAAGATACACTCTGAACCTGATATCTGAAATATTGAGTGGCTTCTTAAATTTATAAACCACCTCAAAGAACCAAAGAAGTTGTTTCCAACTTCTGTACCATCTGAGATAATAAGCAATTCAAGCTTCCTGTTCATTTATTGCCTTGTGCTGTATGAGGCAATTGCTTATTTTGTGTGTTCTCTTATGCACTGGGGTTTATAGTGGTGCAGTAGATTGCTCATTTTAGGACACTTCTGTTAACTTCTCTTTAGATATAAAAAAATAGGTTCATAATAAGCTATAAGAACAGTAGGACTGAGTCCAGCTAGCCCAGTGCTCTGTTCCGACAACCTGAGGATTCAGGTGCCAAGGCAAATCTCTTGGCTTCTATCTTCCACTCCAGAGCTTCATAGAATCACAGAATGGTTTGAGTGAGAAGGGACCTTATTGCCTATCTCAGTCCAACCCCTCTGCCATGGGCAGGGACACGGTCCACCAGCCCAGGTTGCTCCAAGCCCCAGCCAACCTGGCCTGGAACACTCCCAGGGATGGAGCAACCACAGCTTCACTGGGCAACCTGTGCCACTGCCTCAGTACCCTCGCAGGGAATAATTTCTTTGTAATATCTAA